GGGGGGGGGACGAAGGATTGATGAGTGCGCATCGAGGACAACTACAAACACAGCTCTCACGGGATGCCAGGACTGTTCGGGATACATTGAGGTCTGATTCTTTGATGCTCACAGCTCTCTGCCCTCCGAAACAGCTCCCAGCGTAAATTCCCGATATTTATACCGCCAACCCAGCATGCAGGTCCGCCCAACCCTCCAGACCCACCTTGAGCCCCTTGTACAGCCCCGCGTTCTCGGCCGGGGGGGTGAGGTAGCTGATGGTGTTGGCGTAGGACCGGCGCTTGGCGATGGTGGCCTCGCTGGGGTTGTTGGCCGCGTAGTAGTAGAGGTTGGGCAGCGAGCCAATGAGGGAGTCGGGGTAGCACTCGCCGCTCATGCCCACCTGCTTCCCCGGCATGAACTCCAGCGAGCCGTGCGTGCCAAAGTGCAGCACCGCGTCGGCGCCATACACATGCTCCAGGAAGGTGTAGTAGGCCGCGAAGCCGTGGTGGGGCGAGGCGGAGCGGGAGAAGAGGAGGCGCATGGGGTCGCCCTCGTACCCAAAGGTGGGCTGCACGCCGATGAACACCTTGCCAAACTGCTTGCCGAACACCAGCAGGTCCTGTGTGAGTGAGGGGCAAGGAGGGGGTGGGGAGCATTGGGGGATATTGGGACTGGGGTTGACTGCACTGGTGGGCGTGTTGCAGGGCCTCTCGCAACAGATGGTCACAGGTGCTCGATCAGACGAGGCATGCCGCTGCCTGCACATGCAAGCATACAGCGGCACATCAAAGGGGTGTGAATGGCCTTCACAAAGCCCTCAATACTACAAGAAGGCGGGTGACACACAGTCCTGCCCCTCCATTGCCAACAACCAGCCGCCCTCGCCTGTCCGTTGGTGTTCAGCTTGCCGGGCGGCGGACCCCAGTTCTCCTCCAAGGCGGTCGCGTAGGGGCACAGCCGCTTGTACTCGTCCACGCTCATGCGGTAGGCCACATTGAGGTCGGCGGAGTTGAAGCGGGCCTCCTCCTGAGGAGGAAGACAGGGGTGGTTGTGAGGGGTCGAGTGGAGCGGGGTGTGATGGGATTAGGAGGTCTGCATTGTGTCTTGGAAGGCACTGCTCAAGGAAGCAAGGTAAATCCAGACATGCCCGTGGCAAAGGCAGTATCTGCAGAATAGTGAAACAGTCCTCTCGCATGCCCCAATGAGTTCCTTCCACCACAGCAAAAGCCCTCGACTCCCCAATACCCTAACCACGCATAACACACACCTGGTTGAGCACCGACTCCATGAGAGTCTTCTCATCGGCGGGCATATCTCCCACATCGTACCCCTCCTCCTCCAGCTCCTTGAGGACCTGGAAGATGGATCCAAAGACGTTGAGGTAGGCGGCGGTGCCGACGTTGCCCTTGTCCGGGGGGAAGGAGAAGACCGTGATGGCCAGCTTCTTCTCAGCCACCGGTTTCTTGGCCAGCGTGGCCCACTTGACCGTGCGCGCGGCCAGGGACTCAATGCGGTCGGGGAGGGAGTGGGACTTGCCCGTGCCCGCGTCGCGCCCGGCAAAGACCAGCGGCTCGATGGCGCCGTCAAGCTCCGGCAGCGCCACCTGCAGCGCCACCTGCACCGGGTGCACGCCCAGCTGGCTCTCCAGCCACTCCTCCGTGGTCTGGAAGACCAGGGGCAGCGAGCACAGGTAGGGCACGTTGAGAGCCTTGAGCGCCGTGATGGCCTGCATGCATGAATGAGGGGGGGAATATGGTCATCTGTCCCAGGGCCAATCCGACTCACGGGGCTGGAAAGTTGGGTCGCGCACTGTCTGTGCCGGTCCAGAAGAGGGAGAAACAGAGTCGAAGAGATGCAACAGCACCAGGGATTGTGTTATTGTCCCTGGGTAGCAATTGAGCACCCACCACCAAAATACACACACACACGACAAGTCAACGACGTCTGGCACCTTGGGGGCGTCCTGGCGAGCGGGGCCCCCCACCAGCGCGAATCCGGTCAAAGAAAGCACGGCGTCGACGTGCGCCTTGCTGGGCTTCAGGGGGTCGTAGAAGAACTTCTTGACCGGCAGCGAGAAGTCCAGGCCGCCAGCGAAGACGGGAATGACCCGCGCGCCACGCGCCTCCAGCTCGGATACCACACCGGAGTAGTGCCCCTCGTCCCCGGTAACCAGGTGGGAGCGCTGGAGGACCAGGCCGATGGTGGGGCTGTCGGCGGTGGTGCGCATGTCGCGACGCGTGTCGTACCTGTGTCAAAAAGGGAGGAATGTGATGGGGGGAATGGATTTGTGATGTGATGGGGGGAAGGAGGATGGGTGTGGTGGAATGAAATACCCACTGCCTCCCCGAGAGCCCTTTGCCCCACATGGGGGGGAACCAGTCAAACCTCAACTCCCCCCCCCCCCCAAAAAAAAGCACCAACCGCCCCACCAGTTGAGGTACTCCTTGATGTCCTCAAACATGTGAGTGGCCAGTGGGTGCCAGATGCCGACGTCGGGCAGGAGCTCCGGCTCGGCGGCCTCGAAGTCCACGCCCTTGAGCGCAGGGACGTAGGCCTGGCTGGTGCTCAGGATGAGGTTCTCCAGGTTGTCCACGTTTCCCGTCAGCCAATACTGGAGGGCGTTGACGAAGTTGCGTGCGTCCCGCGCCTTGTCCGAGGGCAGGTACTTGAGCACCTTGGGCAGCGTGCGCACCAGCTTCAGCATGCTCTCCTCAAACTTGTCGTTGTTCTTGCGCGCATTCTTCATGAAGTCCCCGATCAGGCTCTTGGACTGCCCCAGCTGGCTCATCTGGAAGGTGCCCAGCTTGTTCAGGCGCATGACCGCGGGCATGGAGGGGAAGACGAGGCAGGCATCCAGCGAGTCGCGGGCGGGCCCCACCGCCTCCACCACCTTGTCTGCCAGGTCCTCGATGAAGATGAGGGAGCCGATGAAGATGTTTGCGTCCGCCACGTCCGCCTTAAAATGCGCAAAGTTGGTGGCATCACGCAGCTCCTCCAACAGATAGCCAACGATCTCCACGCACACCTGGCATTGTGGGGTGGAGGGAAGGAAGGAAGACTTGTGCGAGTGTGTGTGTGTGGAGAAAAGGGTGGCGCAGCCATCGCAACAGGATGGTTGTGCCTTCCATGGATGTCCAAGGCGCCTGATGCAGGGATCGACGCGCGGCACTGGTCGGCACCCCACTCCCCTCACCCTCAACACTCAAGCCCACCTCCTTCTGGACAGCGTTGATGCGGTTCACCGCTGCTGCCAGCGAGGACTGGTACTGCGACTCCAATACCACGTACACTATCTTGACCTTGGGGCGGCCCGCTGGCACAGGGACAATGCGCCGGGTCTCGGGGTCGAGGGAGGTGAAGCCCCCGCCTATGGCAGGATGCGATGGTGCGCAAGGTCAGAAGACCACAATCATGCAAGAAGACAGCACTCAGCGTTTGCAATGTATGCACAGCAACTGGGCCCAGGCCCACAGCCTGCTGCAAGCTCGACGATTCACTCCGACCCAGCTCACCCATCATGCCCTCCCCAATCTGGATCTTAAGGGGCTCGTCGCCATCCCGCCCTCCTAGGTTGAAGGAGGGTACTCGGGGGCCGGTGGCCACTGCCTTGGTAACCTGTTGCAGGGAGGGCATGTGCATGGGCCAGTACAGGACGAGATTTAGCACTGGACCGAGTCCGATCCCACAATTGCCCATGCATTGGACCACGGGGATGGTCACAGCGGGAGCATTCATGGCGGCGGTAGAATTATTCCAGCCATCTCACCAGTCCGGTGCGGGAGCGGTAGGGTCTGCGGCGACGGGATCCCGATGCCTGCAAGGATTCGGGCGCCCATGGGGATCTCACCGGTATACATCGGGGGAAAGACCACCGCCACACAGCCCGACCCGTGGAGCAAGCACGCCGCTACATCGGGCACACATTTACCCACCTTGGCAGGGTGAAACGCCACGGGGATCGCGCTGGAGGCGATGGTGGTTTGCATGGTGCCGGGCAGGGCGCGGGTGCCCATCGTGAGAATCCTAAAGCGTCTCCAGGGGTTGGAGAGGCGACAATGTGATAAGTCTAGAAGGTAATGGTCCTAATGAAATTTGTTCTAGGGTATAAGCCGACCACAGGGAGCGCCAGGAGCCACAGAAATACTGCACTGCCCCTGGGACGATATCTTATTTATCCCTAAGCTTGCACCACGTGACAGATTCGTCTCGCGCGCCAAGTTGCCCATATCGACGGACCCCCTGAGAGCTCAGATGCACGACGGAGCGAATTGATCCCGATGTCCAAGCAGGAAGCTTCCGACGCATGATCGGGACTCCTGGTGCGAGAGTAAGGGGGGGTTGAACGCTGCCTGGTGGGCTCGATGGAGGACGCTGCCCTGCCGGGGTGGGTGCTCCCCGTCACGCTCGTCCTCGGTGCGATAGTGCTGGCGTTCATAAGAGTCTGGTTTGGCATCGACGAGAAGAAGAATCGAAGTGAGTGCTGGTCTGATAGACTGCTTGAAGAGGCCCACCTTCGTGCTGGGTTGGTTTCTTGTGCTGTTCAGCTTCCAGTCGCTTGCATGACTGCGCCCTCAATCACATAGCATCCCGTCAACTGTAGAGTATGCTGGCAAACGAGCGGTCGCCACGAAGCCAATCCAGAAGCCGCTGGGCCGGTACACGAAGGAGGAGGTCGCCCGGCACGCCTCGGAGTCGGATCTTTGGCTCATCATCCGCAGCAGGACCACGGGCGTGGCAGGGGTGTATGACGTCACGCAGTACATTGAGGATCACCCGGGGGGCGATGCCATCTTCACGCATGCTGGGGGCGACGCCACGGAGGGTTTCCACGGCCCCCAGCACCCCGCCACTGTGCATGACTTGGTCCGTGAGTATCTCATCGGCACCCTCGTGGAAGGAGGAGATGCTGGCGTGAGCCCAGTAACGACAAGTTAGGATGAAAGCAGCGTGCCCCATGCCACCCCACTGCTGCTGTAGAATCTTCTTGGTTTCCTTGGGAGACCTGCTCTTGGAGTGCCCGCTGCGCAGCACCTCACACGCATCTCCCTCGCCTGCGCACATGTAATGGAGTACCACAGGAGGCCAAGACGTTCACAGCCCAGGCCGAGTGGAAGGTGCAAGGGAGCCTGGCATGCGCCTAGCGTGTGTGCAGGCAGGAGGAGCGTCTGTGCAGGGGCGGCAGCAGCAGCCAGGGTGAGCAGGGGTGCAGCTCTGACCAGGCTGAAGGCGGCATCGACCTCCCACCCCAGCGCCAGAGACTCAGACGCCCTGCCCATCCCTCGTCTCCTTGGCCGCCACCGGCGCCGCCACAGCAGCCGCCGGCGGCTCCGTCTGCCAGATGCGCAGGGTGCCGTCCTCCGAGCCGGAGGCAAAGGTCGCGTGCCCCGGCGCGAAACGCACGCCGTGCACAGGCCCGTGGTGCCCCCGCCCCGCCTCCACCTCACTGTCCGTCTCGTCATACACGTGAACCCACATGTCGCTGCCGCCCGCCACCAGCTTGCCGCGGTCGGGGGCGTAGGCGGCTGCCTCCACCGAGTACCCGCTGGGGCGGAAGGTGCGCTTCACCGCAAAGTCGGTGCCGTCGTGGATCAGGACCTGGCTCGCCGTGGGATTGTGTGTGGAGGTGGAGGTGGAAAGTGTGAATATGCATTTCGGTGAGTGTGACCCGGCGGCAACCCTAGCCCGCCTTCCCGCACTGGCGATTGCACCTCGGCTCAGCGGCCGCGCGCCGCGCCTGGCAGTCGCGCCTCCAGGCTCCGTCTCAAACACTGCCCCACTCCCCCGCCGACCTCCTGCACCAACCTGGCTGCCGTCGGCGGTGACGATGAATCTGCCGCAGTCCGTGACGTCGATGCTGGTCACCGGTCCCGCCGTCTCCAGCGTCTTCACCACGCTCAGCGTCCGCGTGTCCAGCACGCTGCGCACAGGAAGAAAGGACGGAAGGGTGACGAAAGGCAGGTGACCCTTGATGGCGAGCCGCAGCGACAGGGTGGGGTCCTGGCACCCCTTCACAGCGGGTGCGCCAGGCGACCAGCAGTCTCGTGCAAGCACTGCAAGTCTTGCCGGAGCAGAGTGCCTGCCTCGGCGCAAAGCATCTAGGCCCCCCCCCCTCCCTACTCACTCCAGGTTGGGCTTGTCGGAGTAGGAGATGAGCATGGCCTTGTTGTCGTGGATCCAGGCCGCGCCCCGGATACTGGATGCCAGGGCCGCCGTCTCAGGGGCGGCGTCGGGGCGTGACAGATCAAACACACGAAGTAGCTTCTCGGGACCTAGGATTGGGGACACAGGAAGGGGAGGGGATTGAGTCGAGGAAGGCCCGGGGCTTGGGGTAACCACGGGCCTCAGGTCCAGACACGAAAGGTAACGGCAAGCCCTCCAGCCATTCGGACACCCATCCTCCCCCAACCACCAGTCTGCCCGCTGCCAGCCAAGCGATATACAACCAAAGCTCACCTCCGGTGACGAGCTTGCAGGAGTCCTGCCCCCTCGCAAATGCGGCTGTTCGCACGATGTGCTTGTGTGCAAAGGAATGCAGCTCGTCCCCGGTCACGGCATTCCACACCCGGGCCGTGAAGTCGGCAGAGGCGGTGGCAGCCAGGAAGGCGGAGTCGTTGAGCACGGCAGCCCACACCGCCCCTTTGTGGCCCTGGAAAGTCCCGATCCAGTCCCCGGTCTCGCCATTGCGGAGCTGGGGGGAGGAATCCTTGCTGGCAGAGATCAGGAAGTAGCCATCGGGTGTGATGGGGCTGCGTGTCGGGGGGTGGGAGGCGGGTTGGGGGAAGCGGTAGCCGTGCAGCAGGGAGGCTGGCGATGTGTGCTCGAAGCTCCAGATCGGGGTCCACGACGCCAACATCCACCCATCTCGCACCTGAAGTGCAGATCCACGATTGGTCTGGTGTGTCCGTGGCACACCAGGGGGGTCTGACTCTTGGGTCTGCCAGCCATCACCACGAGCCTGCGCCACGCCACGCCTCTTCCAACCCTGCAGCTGGCCCCTCGACGTTCAAGGCGGGGATCCCACCCCGACACTCCTCTGGCTGGGGACTGGACCCGAGCATGGCTTAATCTGCATCCCCGCATTGTTAACCCGCGCGCGCTGGCTGGCGCGCCGGTGGAGAGACTCGGGCACCCACCCACACATGGCCATGGCACACATCGATACACATTCTCGCCCTGATTTCCATCAAACTGGCCCTGGGTATCACATACTGAAAAATGGGGTGGATAATGGAGAGTAGTGGTCACAAGGTGTGGCCCTGGGCCTCCCGAGCTGCATCGTGGCGTCACGTCAAGAAAAGAGGGATGAAACTTCCGCTTGTCGCCGCAAGGCTGGGACAGAGTCACGCTCCCCGTCAGAGCGACCGGGCCCGCTTGACCCCCACCTGCGCCGGGCCGTCTGCCGCGCCGCTCTCGCGCGGCGCCCCCGCATGCCCGCTCCCGGCCGCCGCGGCCGCCGCGGCGGTGAGCACCTGCTCCCGCAGCAGGCGGTTGGCCTCCTGCAGCTCAGCCACCTTGGCCTCCAAGGTCTGCGTGTACTCCTGCCTCCGCGCGCGCGATCGCGCCGCCGACTCCCGGTTCTTGATCGCGCGCTTGCTGGAGCGCGCGCCCTCCTGCCGGTCGCCGCCCGACCCGGAGTCGGCACGTAGG